CTGGCAGCGTATCTCCAAAATATCAGCATTTAGAAAGCTAAATGGCATTTTTTTTTCTCGTCGTCCATCGGAGTTTTATTACTGATGTATACGTATTCTGTAGTTAATGTTTTACCCCCAGATCAGTGTGATGACAGCTGGCTCAAACGCTGCTTGGCTCGAGCCGTTTTCATCAGAGGCTTCAGAAACGGACCTCTGCAACGAAGGCGGCTGAGTTTCCCCCTTCCCCCAAGTAGTTGCACTGTGCTGTCTTCAAGTGGTTGCTATAAATAAATCACTTCTGTTTTCCCCTTGTCACTAAGAGCTGTACTGTATTCTAAAGCTGCTCATCCATTCTTCCCTTAACGTTCAGCTGCGTCTCGCTGTACTTCCAGCGCTTAATAAGCAGATGTTGTAAGAAGGTATTTAATGACAAATACATTTGTTCAGTTGCGCCGAATAAACCGTGCGCTTGAACTCTAAAATAGATGAAACCGCTGCAGCAGCGGTAGTGCTTCTGGTGCCCTTCCCCGGAGCTCCCGGGGCGCTTTACCTTGCAGCTGAGTCGGGCGCGGGAGCGCGGGTCTGCCTGGGTAATCGTGACGCTCGTCAGTACCGAGACGGTCGCGGAGCCAGTGCATGTTTCAGGGCTCTTTCTGTGTTTTTGCAATTAAAAAAAAAATAATAATAATAATCAGCTTGAGTTTGAAAATGGTAGTGGCTGGCTCACCGCATGCTTTCTGCCGCTGCCAAGACCGGAGCGGCTGGAGGTCGGTCAGTGATGGGCGTGTTGCTGCTGTTGTAGGTTCATTTCTGATGGACAGTAACGGGGCTATTCTATCCTCCTCTACCAAATTGGAAACAGCTTCAGTCTGGGGGCAGTTTGGCTCTTCCCGTCGGGTGCACTGCCCGTTCAGGCAGCGATAGGCACGGGTTGCACGCAGTTTGGCTGTTCAGGGAAAGCGGCTGAACGTTTTTGCCTTCCCTTAGTACGTCAGGGCAAGGCTTTCCCCAGAAAGCCTCAGCAATGCTTGGCGCTGTCAGGCTCGGAGGACGCGCTGGCAGTTTAACGGGCGAGTTCATTGCCTCATAGCGCAGCTTCGACCGGTGTCGTGGTGTGTTTGAACTGTGACGAAAGTGCAGACGGCTGCTTACGGAAGATAACCTGTCACTCTGAGTCACTGTACAGGCTCTTTCCAATTTTTGAAGGAAGGAGCGTTTTCTTTAGCTCATAAAAATGTTGCAAATTTGTCATTGGCGTCTCTCTCAAACGGATGCTGAAATAAATTCTGGAGATCCGCTTGGATTTGAGCTGCTTGTAAAGCACGCCAGTATCTGCCCTGTGAAATCCTGGTCGCGTTTCCTCATGCGGGCAGACTTTTTATTGACTTTAATGAATGGGTGCTTTGGTAGGGAAAACCTGAAAGGATTAAAAAACCCTGCCTTTCTCTTTGGAGTCGGGGTGGGAAGGCCGCAGTAGCACTGCCGTCGCTCCCCTTTGGTCGTGAGGCTTCTAGTAGCAGAGAGGGGCATGCTTTGGGCAGTGTTGGTGCAAATACTCGTACTTAGGCTCCTCAGCCTCTGCAAAAAAAAGTGAGTTGAATTTTAGCCTAGTGACTTGTCAGGAATCTGATCCAAATGAGCCTGACTGCAAATGCTTTGGCTTAACCCATAAAGAGGAAAGAGCTGTGCCTTGGTGAGAGAGGAAGCAGCGTGTGCGTCCACCTTTGCCTAGCTGGTCGTCAGCTGATCCTTTACTGTTGTCCCTCTGCTGTTCCGAGAATCGTGGGCTGCAACCACGGCTTGCAATGGTGAGGGTTTGTTGCTGCTGCTGCTGTTGTTTTCATTTATGACTAGCTGAGAGCTTGCAGGCTTTTTCTGAGAGATACACCTTGCATTGGACATGCCTGCGTTAGGCAAATCCCAGCTTAACTCTTGTGGAATGCTGTATGTGGGGCCCCTCTCGGAGAAGCCTACTTGGAAGGGTCCCAAGTTTCATCTTGCGGCTTCGTGCCGTCCAAGTGAGTGGGATGCTTAGGAAGATGCATCTATCAGATTTTTATATTGCTCTGCCTGCCTTTGTGGGCTGCAATGCAAAGTGGTATCTGTAGGTGTGGATGCTGGATACTTGATTCTTGCGCCTGCTGTGGCAGGACGGGTTAGGATGTGCTTGATGTTGTTGTTGTTTCCTTGTTTCTAGGACTGACTATGCAAAGACCTTGCTTAGTAGAAAGCCTCCCTTTTGGAAGTCACTTGTAATGACGTAGTGACATAGCTTTTATTTGTTGACTGAATGGGTACTTGGTTTAGGTAGATACACTAACGCAGGACTGTACTGCTGAAGGCACGAGCTACAGGTTATCTTCCCGCTTGTGACAGTAGTCTGGAAGTGACTTTTCGGGCAACTATGGTGTTTGAAATGGGGTAGTGTGCCATATTATCATGCTTTTATTTTTCAAATGTAGATACGTTTCTGCTTTGGGGGGGTGTTACTGCCATTCAGAGTGCCTTCGGGAGCCGCAGTCCCTACGGGCCTCGTGGAGGTGGCTTGCTTGGCTTCTCGCTGCGGCAGCCTGTAGCCTGTCGGCTGCTCAGCAGATTCTGGTGTCCGACAAAGGGCTGCTCCCACCTCCAGCTTCAACTTGACATGAGGAAGGAGCATCTGCCCCTTAGAGCATCAGCTGTGGGATCGTCTAAGCAGTTTTGCCCTTGCAAATACACCGAACTCTTACATTTCTGGACTGCGTGATGTAGCAAAGAGGATATAACTCTGGGTTCAACCCAACTGCTTGTTACGAAAAGCTGTCTGACACATGTTTTGAAGATAGAGAAAATATGTTGGTGCAGTCATTCTTCTGCTTCTATGAGTCAGCTTGTTCTAATGGGTTTTGAAGTGGAAAGCCCATGATCGTTTGGGGCTTTCAAGTGCAGGCTGTATGTAGTGTTAGCTCACCCGAACTTCTGTTGTGCCGTGTTTGACTGGCCTAAAGCTACCCTGTCAAAATAGGGAAATAACAAGAAAACATACTTTTTATGCTAATTACCTGTTGGACAGTGTTTTGTTTTGTGTTTTTGCTTCAAAAATTTAAACAGCCAGCAGCAGCTTTTGTAAAGCTGGGTTTAACTCATTTGTGCAAGAGCACGTTTTGGATGATTAGATTAGTTCATCGGTGAGCAACCTGTGGCACTTGGGCCACCTGCAGCTCACGAGCAGCTCAAGTGTGGCTCCCACGCCAGGGCTGTGTAGCGTGGTTTGTTGTGTGGGCTGGTTGACCTAGAACCTGTGGATAATCCAAATTGCTGGAACTGGGAGGAAGCAAATTAGCAGAGGGTGGCCTAGCTAGTACCACCGGGTATCCAGCTGCATCCCGAGCCGGTGGTGTAGCATGGTGATCCTTGTGGCGCAGTTGTCGTATGCAGGCCTTGAGCTGATCCTAAACCTTTACCTTCCCTTCCTGCCCGTTCTGAAATACTTGTCTTGTGATACTTGGCTGGGTATAGATCCGAGTGGGCTTTGTGCGACTGTGGTGCTGGATCAGGGTTGCAGCTGAAAGGCTTGCTGGGCACCACCCAGTGCAGTTGCTGCAGAAATCTGAAAACTTAAGCAGTATTCAGACCTCCTCTGCAAAGCAGTGCTGAATTATTTTTGGCTCTTAATGCACGGAATAATCTTGTTTTGTTTTTAGAGTTACATGAGATGGGCTAAGATCTTGCTGCAGCTTAGTTGCATCATTGCTGTCTGTGGGTATGTGCCTGGCATCAAACAGAGAGGTGAACAGGTAAACGCAGTGCTAATCAGGTATGCATCCATTAATACTGGGTGTGAGAAGAGAGATGTGAAGCCGCTCTTCGTTTCTCATTTAATGGACGTGTACGTAAGAACGTCTAGAGAGGGCTCTTCAGTCTGTCGAAACTCCTTCCTTTCCTGTTGATTTGCAAACCTCAGTCATTTACCTGAGTAATAAGCGCACGCAGTGGAACTGTACCAGTCGTCAGGCCATGGGGGAGCAGCGTTTTGAGCGCCGTGATCCTGGCTTTAGATTCGAATTGTGTTTCTTAATGCACATTAAGAAACGTAACGCTTTGTAATTGCTTATTCAGCTGGCTGCCTTTTCTGTTAGATGAACTCTGAACGTGCTCTGTTGGTGATGATGCAGATAAATAACGCAAATAGTGTTTGTGCTAGAAGAACGATGCAATTTTGAAAGAAAAGTAAGAACGAGGAATAAGTTCTCTAGTGAAGATCTTAATGGATTCTGAATGAAATAGTCAAGCTTGCATAGCTGAAACGGTTGAAATTGAAACTTCAAAGTAAACTTGTTCTTGTAACCTCATTGAGGAGGGAGAACCAGTTCAAGATGTAAACAAAATTAAAACGACTGAATCAAAATTGTGTCTGTTTTAACTTAATGCACATTGGAACGTTTAGCTTTTGCTGAGCTTAATTACATTACTGCAACCTTGACTTCTTACAGGTAATAAACACGGAGAGAGCTTTTTACTGTACTATGCAATAAACCTTTTTCTACTTCTTACGCTATTGGAGTGAAATAACAGGAGACTCTTATCAGCATACTTAATTCTTATAAATCGGATATGCTTCTTCCATATGGCTCCAAAAAGTCTGCGTTTACCTATATAATCTACGCCTATGTAGCACACAAGCAAAGCCCTTTGCACATACATAATTTGACGCTTGCCAGGAGAACTGCAAGATTGACACCTACGATTTGCCTGTCCTGAGGAAGATGTTATTGAAGAAAAACAAATGAAAAAAACCCTAAACTACACACAAAAAATGCCCTGTGAGGGCAGACAAGACTGCAGCAGCTTTTCCCCTTCCAGTTGTGGCTAAAGTAAACAATTATTTTTTTCTCTCTCTCTCTCTCTCTTTTTTTTTCTTTTAATAGTGTAGATTGTTTCCCAGCAATAATTGTACTTTACAGTTTTCTTCCCTAAACTGGAAACCTCCTCCAGTTGTTTGCATTGCAATAGCAGATTCTGTCTGTTTATTTTCCTAGCAATCAGAAATGGACTATGGTGTTCATCTTAAGAAAACTAAAACTCAGGATCCTGGTAGGAACCACCAGCAGCAAGAGGAGGAGACCATTGCAAATACTCTGGAACATATCGTGGGACAGCTGGATGTTCTGACTCAGGTATGGAGTGCTGTTTGGTTTTGTAATGATGATAGTTCCTCTGGCTGGAAGAACTGGCAATATTTTGCAATAGCGTCCTAGAATAAACCTGTGGTTAGTTCAAAATCTCTGCTTTCAGTAGCTTATTGATAAACCTCTTTCCGCTGCTTTAAGCAGCTTACCTCCATCAGTTCTTTTGCATTGATTTCCAGCTCAGGCCCTACTCCTCCCCTAGTTTCTTTATGCTGCGGTGCAGCAGAGAGCTACTTGAGCCAACTCTGGTGCCCTCTGCTCTTAGCCAACGTTTAGCCAAAGTAATGCCTAAAGGAGTGGCTAAATTAGCCAGTGGCTAGACTTGGCTTCAGTGGATAATGTCTCTCCTTCCCCCTCCCTCCCCCCAGTTATACTGCAGTGTATAGGTAAACTCTGTTCAGGTCCTCCTCCTTTTCCCCCTCCTCCCACCTTGAGCTACACAGTCCAGTTTCTGTAGTGTTCTCCTCCCGTCTATGAGTCTGGGCCCTTCCACACCTCATCTCTCAGACACGCTTGCTCACCCACAACTAGCAAACAGCTAAGCCCTTGCTGAAGCATTACCGTACAGTTCTTCCTCAAAGTCGTTAAATAATGCTAAGCTGTAAGGAAACTCACCAAACTGATGGATAACCCTCCCAACTCTTTTGACACTTGAACAGTCCTATCCATTAATGTTAATCCAACACACGATACGTTTGCTTAAAAAGAACTTGAGGACAGGGTTATTCTTACCTAAATAGCTGCTCGTTGCTCCAGTTGGGAAGCGTTCGTTTCTGACCGTTATCTGTGGTTGAGTATCAGTGCGTGTTTTTGAGGGATGTGAGAAGCAGGGAGGAAGCATGGGATAGTGGACATAAGTGATCTTCTGCAGGTAAGATCATGGCTGTAAGATGGAAAATCTGCATGGGAGGGCTTCTCTGGGAGCTTCTTAAGTGTTGTTTCTGGGGAAGAACCAGCAGATCTTGAACACAGTGTTGAACACTGATTACTAGTCCTAGTTAGGCCTTTGCTCTTGAGAGAAATATTTGTTGTTGAAAAATGCAAGATGATAGGTTGGAGGGCACAACAGGGGATTGAAGTAGGTCTGATTTAAGGATATAAAGCATTCCAGGATTGTACGTGATCTAAAACAGCGTAGGGTAAAACCCAAACGATATGTAAGTTCATTTGGCAGAAATACAAGAAAGCACTCTTTCTGTAATCTCTAGAAGACACTGAACATTAGGGAAAAAAAAAAATGTATGGCATTGGACCCTCATGCTTGTGATTAAAATGCAACCCAGTGTATATACAGAATATTTTATTACTGTTTTTGTTTCCCGAGTACAGTTGGAATGTGATCCTTATCTCTCATTACATAAATCAGATCCGCGGTTCTGATGATGGATATGTAATGGCTCCGTTTCAACTTCATAGGTGTTTAGAGGAGGCAGATACTGCAGTAAACAGTGTGTGGGATTTAAACTAGATATAAGCAATGCAAACATAGCTCTAGAAGTTATTGTGTAACCGTAGAAAATTCAAAATGTTGTTTTAAGACTAGCAGAAAGAGAAATTGAGATCAGTGGGGGAGGAATAAATTAGTAGGTTATAGGATAAAATTGGAAATAAGTCTGAAATTATAGTAAAAACAAAAAAAAAAAACAAAAAAAAACCCCAAAAAAACCAAAAAGCTGCCTTGACTAGTAACTTTACGTTCAGCAACTGTAGGTTTTTTTTGCCATCCTTAGCGTACTTAATTTCCTGTTAGTTCTAATCTTTGTATGTTGTACTTTGCTGTTAATGCCAACTTAATGCTTGTGGTAGATCTATCCGGTGTATTGCTGAAATGGTTTCATAATTCTTCATTTTCACTCTACTAATATTGCACCTGCTTTTGATATCTTGAAGTGAAACAAACCAACACAAAATCATCATAGAGAAGCAAATGAAAATGGAAGAAGTCCTCGTTCTTTTAATAAGAGAGGAGTTTCCTTAAAAAGGAGGGATAGAGGCAGTTAGCGAGGCAGAGCGGTGGAAGGCAGCTCTGGAAGACATCCACTCCCATAGCTAACTTTGCTTTTTCTTGCGGGCGCACAGTGTCTAATGGGTTGTGACACAGAAGGGAATGCAGGTCCGGCAGAGCCACCGTCATCCCGTTTTGTACAATCAGACGGCGACTGGGAGGTGCCGTGGAGGAGCCGATCGGAAACAGCCGCTAGTGATACCACTTTGCTCATCTTCCCTAGTCGTTTCTGCTGCAGCACAACTGCATGCCGCTCCTTGCGCACAGCAGGTTCAAGCTGATGTTGCATGTTTTGCACTGGAACTGTGGGCTTGCTGACCTCTTTTTGTGAAAGAGAGAGACCACTGGTTTTCTTTTAAAAAGAAACCAACCAACAACAACTTTCAGAAATAAATAACACTTAACAGGCATCAGGATTTTTCCCTTCTTGAAGAAAGCCTGAGGATGGACCAGTAATCTCCTGTAGTGCTCTGTCATGAATCATTGGCTCATGATTCCCGAGTGTTGTCTGTTTAAAAGGAACACTAATGACAGAAGCAGAACCATACAGTTTAAGCTGTTTTTCAGTTGAGAAGAAAAGAGAAGACTCCCCATGATATTTCCAGAAACCCTCTATTGACACAGTCATCCCAGGGCTTTCAAAGAATTGCAACGTGTTAGCTTGGTCGGAGATTGGGTATATCTCTAATGTAATACCTTGAGTTCCTGTGCTCTTTGTTCTCGCAGTTTCCACCGTTGCATTGACATAACATAGTATTAAAACTTACAGAAGTTATGATAAACTACTTTGGGAAATTGTGCAAATCTCCAAGTAATTTATTCATCTTCTAATGTTTCTTGTAGCCATCGTTTCCAGGTTCATCATGCGAAACTTCACATTATGTGAAAAGTGGGAAAGAAAATATTGGTGTTTTCTTTCAAAATTTTCCACTGGAAAGAGATAATAGTAAGAAATCAGCTGAACGCTGTCATCTCTTGCCAATGCGCAGCTTTGTTCTGGGCTGCCCGCTCGAAGCTGCTTTGTCTGCTGCGCACCAATTATCAGTACCTTCCCTCCATTGACAATAGATTTCTGGATGGAGTGGAGTGTCATGTACTTGGAGACAGCAGGATTGTTTTTATTCTGTTAAGAGGTCTCTTCCTGCCAGGCACCGATTGCAAGTAGAAATGCTGAGGCTATAGAGGCGTTATGTCCTGCACAGCAAGACGCACTTGAACAGGCTTGCTTCCTCAGCTAGGCACTTCAGTTATTATTAGAGAAAGTTGTATCAGAAGAGACTAGTGGCTGATGTAGACCGCTTCTAGCGATAACTGTTATAGCTAATAGATACGAGTCCCCTCGAATTTATGAAGCTTCATTTTGTGCTGTTAACATCTTGCTATGATTTTTTTCTTAAGGATCTTGGCTGCTTTCTTTTAATTAGACTTTGATTCAGTTAAGCCTTCCTCCCCTCCTCCTCTCTGGAATTATGTCAACCCATTTTTTGCTTTATTTATAAGGAAGCAGTCTATTGTGACCTGACAGAGTCACTAGGGTTCCCTCTTATTCACGTCACGGATTCCTCATCTTTTTCTAAACGTGGATTGGAGGCCATATTTTACATGCAAACACAGAAGTCCGTCTTTGACTCTGTTTTCCAGAAGAGTAGCGCATACTTGATGATTTTGCTGCTTTGAGGGGTGGAGTGAAGTTAAGACCTGGACGCAAACCCTTGTTTCCAGTGGTTCTTGGATTACCCTTTGTAGGAAAGTGGGCAAATGAAATCTGATGAAGGAATGAGGAAGATGAGACTAATGAGTGTGCCTCACGCATGCTTTGCTCCTCCCTTTCCTGTAGCTTAACATCTTGTCAATGCCTGAGTAATTCTTAAATCCTGTTCTTTATGGGCATTTCAGAGGTGATTTGGAGGAAAACGCAAAGTGCTTGCCGAGTATTTGTAGTCAAAGGCTGGATCTTGGTATCTCAGCGCATATATGAATGAATATTGAAGTTTTTATGGGAAAGTAAAAGGGTTTTTCTCTTGGATAACTCAGTCATTAATATTATAGAATAGAAAGGTGGTTTTGGCTGGAGCCAAAATGGAGCAGGTATTAAGAGTTTGTTTGCTGTGCTACCTCTAATGCATTTCCTGCACTTATGGCTAAGCTGTTCTTAGAGAGGCTTGTCAGTGAAAAGACATCTTGGCTACAGTAGAAACTTGCATTTGCAATGATTAGCAGAAATAGTTCATATATTTTTGCCCTCATTCCAGACACCTGCAGTTGCCACATTCGCTCTGGTAATCTGTAGCACTGGTACACAATGGGCACTGGGGAGGAAGTTGCAGTTTTTATGTGGGAAGAAAGATATTTCCTCTAAATGAAGAGTTCAGAATCAGGTTTCATTTTAAAAAAAAAAAAAAAAAAGTCCTAAATAGCTGAGATAATCCACCCACGGGAAACAGTTTCATATGCATCCGAAAGTAATCCTGCATTGGAGCTGGGGGAAAACAGCACAATGAAACGGAGAAGACTCAATAATTCCCTGAGATAATCCAAGCCAGAACCGAAGGACAGTCTAGCTCATGAGAGATTAAAGGATTATTTCACTTATTCCAGAAGAGATTGCAGAGGGATGGAGGAGAAGAATTTTTTTTAATGGAATTATTTAGTACAAAAAAAGCTTGGAGGAGAAGTGGGGAGCCTTTTAATGAAAACTGAAAGTGTTTGTGCAGCTCTCATAATAAAAATCAAATTTGTTAGTCTTTACTTTGAGGTACGGTCTTCAAAGCATGTATTTGTAAGGAGTGAGCAGCCGCTCTCTTCTGAGAGGTATTGAGTGTAGATTAAGCAACTGGTTTAGTAAAATAAATTCTTTTGACTTCAAGTAGTTACAAGCCAAAAGGTCAAATTTTTGGCTAAGCGTTGCTTACCTATGCCTGGCAGTAATGTCGTGTTTTGTATATTGCTTTCAGTGCCCGCGTGCCCACTGGCAACAAGAGGT